CTCTCTCCTACCACGAATCCCACACCAAACTTGCGCTCCTTCATATGGCCACTGTAGTAAATGCCACAAGGACCTACTCGTCTCTGTCCTTGTCCCGTCCATCGCTTTCGATTTGAGATTATATGTATGTATGCATTTGTTTATAAATATTTACGTGCAATTACAACATTTATGGTTGCAAAGTTAGAAAACATTCTTCGTATAATTTAGTAGAATGCCGCCGTTTTGACAGTCCTTGCTCTGGTAGATAGTTCTCAGAAGAGCCAACCGGCGCAGAGAAAGCAAAACAACGCTATCTTTCATTTTGAGCACGAATGGCAATTTGTTGAACTCATCGGGACCGTGATAATAAGAACTATAATGATAATTTCTTTGCAGAAACTAATAGCATCTCAACAAAGTTATTCTAAAATATCTGTACTACAACTAATTTCCTACAGGGTATATAATGCAGCATACTCGTAAGCATAAATGTGATTGAGAATGAGAACTGCATTCCTCTAACCTTTGCGCTCTCTGGTGGGTGGATAATTCGGAGACGGGTTTTTATGACTTTACTGTGCGCCATTCCTTTGTATACAAAACAAAATTCCGCTGTAAACTGCCATTAGGCATACAAATCACGTGCAAGTGTGCATTTTCATGCATTTGAGCAAGTGTATGTGAACCAACAAAATACCTTTGTGCATTATGATATTTGAAAACAAAAAACTTTAGAGCGCATAAACAGGCTTGATTTATGTGTATAAGACGAATATGCTACCTTAAATAATAAATAGCATAAATTATGAACTAGACAGGGAGCAACTTTTGGTAACTAAAAGAAAACAAAAATGGTTTCACTCTGTATATTTTTAAATTATTTTATAATATTTTATATTTATGTGCAACATTTTCCTAAGTCTTGAAAACCTGCTCTTATTACACTCTCAAGTAAAAGTTGCTCAAAGATAATACTAGATCTTACAAAAGAGCTTGGCGATTAATAAGTGTAATCATAACCGCCATTTAACTTTTTCTTCTTTGCTCCTTTCTTTCAAAGATTTTTTCTGTCCCAACGCCATGTGAATAACTCGACACTCTGTACTCTACGAGGTGTGTTCAAAAAGTATCGCGAATTTTGTATTTTTTCAGAAATTATTTATTTATTCATTAATATCTATTTTGTTCCCTTCAAAGTAATCCCCATGAGATATTATACACTTGTGCCAACGGTTTTTCCAATCTTCGAAGCACTTCAAAAAATCATTTTTTTTTTTATCTTCTTCAGCTCCTCCTTCGATGCCGTCTTTATCTCGTCAAGAGATGCGCAACGTCGTCCTTTCATGGGCCTCTTCAGTTTAGGGAACAAGAAAAAGTCACAGGGGGCCAGTTCTGGGGAATATGGTGGCTGCGGCATCATTAGTGTGTCGTTTTTGGCCAAAAAGTCGCGCACAAGCAACGATGTGTGAGCAGGGGCGTTATTGTGGTGCAAAAGCCAATTTTTGTCACATTTTCTCGGCCTTCTGAGAACATTTTGTACCACCGATAAACGTTGCTTCCATCCAAGGTAGCTTCTCCGTATGCCACAGTCAAAATTCGGAATGCATCCGCGCACTTAATTTCGTTTTTCACACAAAATTTGATACAGGTTCTTTGATCCATTTTTTTGATTAGGTAAAAATCGAAGACGATCCAAAACACGTGCAAGCAAAGCAGCTGTCAACAATTAAATGAACATTCAAAATGGCCGAGCTTGTCGGCATAAGTGGGAGACATGAGTACCAACATAACGCCACAAAAAATTCGAAATTCGATATACGTAACCCGCGAAAATTCAAAATTCGCGATACTTTTTGAACACACCTCGTATATAACGAAATGTTGTTTGATATCAAATATTTTGCTCTGAAACTAAATAAAAATTGTGTAAAAGAGAAGAATACTCAGAAAGATAACCGTAAACCCCTCAATTTTTATATAAAAATCAACATTCTTCAATCGTGTTAAATTTTTTTATACGCTCTGCAAAAAACTTATAAAAGCATAGCTAACATATTACAAAATAATGTTTTCATGAATTAGAGGCTACAATCGAAAACGTTTTTTGTTTGTTGCGCAAGCTATATATCCACACTCAAGTTTACAAAACAAGATATATTTTATTTGTCCCTAAAGTAATTGAAGTACGTTTCTGCTCGCTACATACGTACACACTTCGCGTGTCGCGATATGTAAAAATGCAATTTTCGCATAAATTTACTATATACATACATGCGCTCTATTGGATTTTCTGAAAAAAAAAAAAACAGATGGTATGCTCCTAATACACTACTCAACAAATATGAGAAAACAATTGCTTCATGTGTAGAATTTCGGGATGTGATTACGAATTTAATTTCACAAATTTTCCATTACTTACAGCTATTTTTGTCATTTTAGTAAATGGTGGTCCTTTGGCGCCTACACCTCTTGACTATAACACAAAAAATTCTTCGCGTTAGGAAATTTAACAATAATTATCGGTTTTAGAAATCCAAAATTTGCAAGAAAAAGTCGCTAACAATACAGTTGTAAAATTACTGTAAGCTAAGTGCTTTATCAGACCAAAAGAGCATAGCCTCGGTTGCCATATTGCACATAACTCTTGATCACAAAGTTTTCTATAAGAAGACTTTCACAGGCCGAACCCAAGTCGATTTTGTGTTTCTAAACCATTTAAAAAACTTGTAATAAAACTGAATTTTGTTTATTCAATTTGACCATTTCATTAAATTTCACTAAAAATTTATTTGCACTCTACATGTATGATTTGAAGATATTCTTAAATTTTGAAGTGATGTAATTGACGTAATTAATCAGTAACAATATATATTGGGAGATTGCCTCATATATACACCGATAGCCTTGTAATATTATGGTATACATTGTATCGCTTAAATAAACACGCACTGATTAAGCTTAGAAAAAGTTTGTTGACTACCCTTTACAAGTAAATTAAATGCTTATCAATCAATTTTATTTATTTGATGTCAAATGGCCACTCACCAGTTGCAATCGAATGTGAGAAAAGCGAGATTTGCATTTTTTTCTATTAAAAACTGCCCACATTGTTGCAATTCTTGTCACTCATATTTCTCACTATCGCAAAATGCTTTTATTTGGGGTTGCCAAGGTGAACTGGCAGTGAAGACTTTCTTTTCTTTTTAGTATACTCAGTCTGATGCATTACGCATGCATGTTTAGTATATACATATGTAAGTATATATATGCATATAAATGAAAATATGTATTTAATATATGCAAACAAGGTGTTATTTGCAATATTTTATTGCCAACGGAAAATTATATTTAAACATGCAAATAAATTGGTCGGTGCAACAGTGCAACTTTTACTAAGTATTAGCGAATATTATACTTTGCCCTTACAGTTGCTCATCATTTGCACCATACAATACAACTATGTTATTTTTATAGTAATCATAAGACGGTTTTATTATGCAAACAAGTAAAAACCGGCAGCCAAATCAAGTTTCCAACTAGAACCATCAGAATAAGCAAGTCAGCTGACTGTCTTATTTCAAACAAGTTGCTAGCATTTTTACGTTTAACATCTTATGAGATTGCAATTGTTAGGTAGCATCGTTGAGAAACATGATCCCTTGATACTAGATGAAAAAAAGTTAAAAGTATTTTCTAACTGAAGAGCAAAACCAGTTATCTAATAATACAACCCATTATAAAAGCGCTTTATAATTGGTAAAATTCTGCCATTTTTCTACCTGGTTGCGTTTGAAACAAGAATTCCTAGTTGTAAACTGATATCTTTCCTGCCTAATTTGATGACTTTGTGCACATAAATGCAATTTTGTAAGTTAAGTCTTCTAATTAGAAACGACTTTGCTGCATATGGTTTTCTTAATTTATTTAAAAAATTTAGATTGCCACATTACATAAAACTATAAATTGGAATCAACAAAGTAACACATTTTATTTGAGATTAAGATAGAAAAAAACCACCATTATTAATTATATTTTTAAGAAAATGAGGTAAACACAAAGAACACCAAATTCAGTTTGGTCATATAATTAGAAACGACAGTAAAAACTTAAAAATATTTATATAAAATTGAAAAAATGTATTAACTTTTTAGTATTTTGTTGGATATCCCTTATTTTTAACAGCATTGTCTAGCTTTCGCGACAAACTTTGGATTAATTCTTGGCATGTTTGCATGATGCTGTTCCAACTTTTTTGAACCACTTGAAACAACTGGTCAATATTTCGCGGTTATTTTTTTGTCCTTAAGATCTCGTTTCACAATTGCCCATAAGCTTAATAAATTGGGTTAAGATCAGGACTTTGCGGAGGCCAATCCAAAACATCAATATTTTTATCCGAAAGCCAGGTTTTCAGTAACCTTGAAGTGTGTTTACGGTCATTATCGTGCTGGAAAATATAATGGAGAACGTAATGGAACCATATTCCTTTGAGAATATGCCAGTTCATTACATTTTTCAGAACGTTTTTGTATTGATGTTGGCCCATTATCCCTTAAACAAGCACAATTGGGCCAACACCACGAGAGGAAAAGGCTCCCCAAATCATAACAGATCCGCCACCATGTTTTGCTGTTTTCACAGTGTACCTAGGCTTCGACGAAATGTTGGGAGGACGTCTTACATACGTTTTTTCGTCGGACTTTATTAAATTGAACTTAGATTCGTCACTCCAGAGAACTCTATACCAGTATTATCGATTTTTCCTCAGCATTTCCTTTGCAAATCGCAATCGTTTCTTAATATTTTTTTGATACAAGCAGTTTTTTTTTTGCGCAATGCTCTCACGAAGCCTCGACTCTTCTAAACGCCTTCTTATCGTCCGAGCTGAGATTTCTACATTAAGTTCTTGTCCAGCCTTTATTTCATGCGAAGTCATGAAAGGCTTGTTTTTGCTCATCCTACAAATTATCCGGTCTTCTGCTGGAGTGCTTTTTCGAGGTCTGCTCTTCTTGGTAGGGGTTTCAAATTTCTTCGTTTTTTATACAATATAAATAGCTCCAAATACCATTTTCTTGGAGCAGGAAAACCTTTGTGCGATAGCTGACATTGACAATCTCTCTTTTTGAAAGCACCCTACAATTAACTCTCTCATTTTGGGAGTACATGACTTTTTTTTGCCCATTCTAATAATTAAAACTTTTTTAATTGAACATTATTTAATTGAAGTATACTCGCTTTATCGCTAAGTTCAAAAAAATCCAAGAATCAAAAGAAAAATCTGCGCGTTTCTAATTAGGTGGCCAGCCAAGGAACACAAACCGGAAAATAATTTTAATTGTTTCAATAATCAATCAGCAAATAGTCACGTGTTTACTTAACAATAACGTTCAAAGTAACGAATAACAGGGATTATAATCTACAGTACGCGTCTTAAAAAAAGTATACAGTGATTTGATTTTTTCTAACATATCGTTTCTAATTATAAGGCCACCCACCACTGTATATATCTATAAAAGAAAATAAGAGGCGACGAAAATTTTCTCTAAGGATGCCAACGCCACTTCAGATACCACCACTTACCATACTTTTTTTTTATCAAGTTTTAATGTTAAAGATTAAGTGGCAACTAAACTAAATTTCGCAAAGTGTCATTCAAAGACAGGCTCGAAAAGGACCTATTACATGGCTGGTATAGTGGGACCACGTACCAAACTCTCAGTGTGCAGGTTTTTAAGCATTTTGCTTGCTGAATTCTATGCCATTAACAGATGTACAAAGATTATTCAACAGAAAAACTATTATGGAGAACGAATTGTCATTCTCAGTGATAGTCAAGCGCCATTTCAGACAATCAAATCAGCAATGACACTGGACCCGCTCCTCGGGTAAAAAACAGCCCTTTTCTACAATTTTTTCTCATATAAACGATGAAATATTTTATTAGAATTTTTTTTTTGTTAGAAACATACCCTATTAACAAAGAAATTTTGAAATGTCCGGCGACCCCTCGGAAGAAAGAAAAAGCCCGCGTTGTCAGGAGAAAAACGCGTTTAAAGACGGCGCACTTAAACCAGCTAGCCTCGACCGCACAAGTTCTCAATGAAGTATCTCCGAAACTATTGCTCGGATCAAATTTAGGATGATATTCTGGAGGTTATATAATTTAACAAGATAATAAAAAAAATTCGATTTTATGTAAACCCATATAACCCCTCACTGAAAACATCTTACTAGCATAAATACCTAGGCATAGATGCATCAATGGAGATGATCTAGCCGATTCCCTGGCGAAATAAGGGTAGTTCCGATAAGACCGTTCTTCGCTATGGGCCCCACAATTTTGAGAGGAGCTATGGGAAGAGGAAAGGCAGCTTGTTGCATTGGTTACTGTATTATAGCTCTGTAGTGCAGAGAAACCAGATCCCAAACTCCTGGTCGATAACACATTACTGGGGCTTTACTCTTTGATTTGACTGGATTAAATGAAGTGTTGTAATAACAAGAGAGAGCACAACAGACGGCAGTCTATCTAAATTTCATAGAGTTGTCTCTATTATGCCATTGAAAGGTTAATTGAAAAGATGGTAATCAGTACACAGGGTAAGCCATATTTACGCCTTTGGAGAACATAAAATCGAATTCAGATCTATGAAACGCCATTGATCAGACAAAAAAGAAATGTTCCCAAAAAAGGCTAATTCAGCCATAATTTTCAAACAAAATGAATCGATAGCTGCCATACAAATCGACCGACCAAAGTTCTTGTAAAGAACATTTTGTATTTGTGGAGGATATTATATCTTCGGTTTCTCTTTTTTTTTTACTTATTATTTTTAATTTACTTACATTTTTTTAGCCACCGAACAGCCACGCACACCCAATCCACTCTTCAAACGCAGATTTTCGCTCGCCGCCAATCCATCTGCCACAACAATACTTACGCCGAGTACAAACACTCCAGGTGACGCACTCACCACAACACTCTTTGTAGACGGTTTCGATGCCGAGAACGCAAGTGATCAAGTGGCCAAATCGAGTGTACATACAAATCATTTCAATCAATTTGTGCACAACGCCGAAGATAATGAAGCACAAATACCACCACGAACTTTAACCAGCGGCATCAAGGCCTCACCACTGAAATCAAAGCCGCACATAGCAGTCACAACAACACATGCGCCAGTTGAGCCGCAGCAGCCATATGTGGAATCCATCACACGTCGTATGGGCACCGTAGCGGCAACCACAGAATTCACTGCATCGAAACGTAAATAAAATTTTCATTACGATGTTTTCCTAACAACTAACAGGAAATGAAATGAAATGGAAAATTGCAATATACATTTTAATTTCAGGAAAGTCTGTCGCCAGCAAACGAAGGCCACAGAAGTACACGCCCCCTACGCCACAAACATCGACTGAAAGCTTAGCGTCGCGACGCGGGCAGTCTGTGAAAGAGGCGGTGAACAGGCGACGGCCTAACAAATATGCCGCCAGCGACAGTTTTGAGCGACTAAATGGCAATCAGGCGGCACCGGCAAAGCCAACCCCACATGTCAGCAAGGCGAAGAGCAGCCATCGACAAGTCGTCGATTATGACTACTATGACGATGAAAATGAGCGCGTAGTTGGCAATACCGAAGGGCAACAGGTGCGTATGAAGAAGACACAAGTATTTTTTTTAGATATAAATATTTTTATTTTGCTTCAATTTAGTTGAAGGTGATTTTACATGGACGTGGCATAATCGAATGCCTGGATCAAGGCAATTTCCCGCATCCGCTGTCGTGTCGGAAATTCATTTCCTGTGCCAAATTCGAGACCGGTGGCGTGGTAGGCTGGGAATATACTTGTCCGAAGGGTCTCAGTTATGACCCGGTCGGTGGCATGTGCAATTGGGCAGCCGGTCTCGGCTGTAAGGAGTAATTGGCGGCGGCATTAACACTTTGAAATACATATTCTAAAAATAATATACCCTTTAAATATTGCTAGATACATACTATCGCACAAATCGAATTGCAATTTATAAATGCAAAAAAGAATACTCATTAAAGTAGCTCATTGAGAGTTTGACGTCTGCGCCGGAACTCCTCCACACTTCATTTTTCAAACGAAATTTCCTCTAACCCATGCAGTTATTTTATAGTTTTAATACAATTATGTGATTATCGTTTATTGTTTCTTTTTCCTTAGTCGTTTAAGCATAACTTTAAGTTTAAGCTAAAAGTGTTAAATTAAATTTAGTTGAATTTTGAAAATGAAAAATCTTGTAAATGCTAATACATATTGGCGAAGTGTTCGTTTATTGTAATTTATTTCAACTTACAACGAATTACTATACATATTTCTACTTTTCTATGCCAATACTCTATATATTTTATAATTTATAACCAATAAAAAGTAAAAATACATTAGTACATATAAATTTTATTAATACAATATTTAAAATACAAACGTGGACACTTGATTAAGCGCACGTTGTGAACGGCGACGAATCGCCTCTACACGATCTTCGTGTACACTCTCATTTACGGCTGCTATATTTTCTTCACTGCGTGTTCCATCCGATCGAATACGGGGTTTGGCGGAAGTAATAGGACTGATGTTCTTCCGCCGCGACTGTAGAGAAGGCCAGTGCATGAGCAAATCCAAAGTGAAAACGATGCTCATTGTCTTTTTCGACATCAAACACATCGTCCACCATGAATTTGTTCCTCCTGAACAAACCTTCAATGCCGACTTTTACGTGGAAATCCTCAACAGATTCAAACGAAAGATCAATCGGGTCCGAAAAGACATCGCAGCCAATTGGAAGTTGCACCACGACAACAGCCCGGCTCACACCGTCTTCTTGTTAACGCATCGCAGCCGGGTGACAGACAGCTCAGATTTGGGCCACCGAACTTTTTTTGTTTCCTTGCCTGAAAAGACCGATGAAAGGGGATCCAAGCAGCACGCACCTCGGCACTCAAGGCTATTCCAGAGAATGTCTTCCGGAACGCCTTCATAGATTGGAAATCGCACTGGCAGCGCCGCATCGACAAGAAGGAGCCTATTCTGCACGCTTTTTACAGAATTGTAACGATTGATTCAATATTTTTGTTTTTTAATCGACTCAGTCCTATTACTTTCCGAACAGTAAAATATAAAAACTAAAGATAATGCGAACTTTAAATGTAATCCACTACCAAAACTATCGATTATGAAAGATTTACTGACAACACTCATTTACGGTAAGTGGAGAAAATTTAGCACTTATTTGTTCTTTCTATTCTCGTGCTGAGAAAATGAAAAAAAGCGTTTGGCTGAAAAACTGTAAATAAATTCCTTGACCTATTTGTTAGTCCTCGTTTTATTCTAATAATTAAATTGGACTGTTTCTTACGAACACTGTTTTGTTTCGGATTTATCAAAAGTTGTACTCTTTTGGTCATTATTTCATCCAGAAACTCCAGCAATTCGGATTTCGAAGTGTTGAACCACATATCTTAACATCATCTTTCAGACATTAATGATCCTGAAAATATCAAATTGCCGATAAAAAAGCCAAAAATACTATCTGACTGTTCAAATATCCCAGTTCCAAGTTCTCACCTAGAGGATGCTTGTAAAATTTTGTATACGTACGCGAAAAAGTCGCAGAGGCAAACCTAGACCAGTTAGAAAATCAACTTTTAAAAGTTTATAGTTTAATGCCCTTTCTAACTGCTGCTGCTCCTCAGTGTCTACTACTCTAGCCAAATTAAGAAATATCGTTTTTTAATACCAATTGCGTTTATTTACAAACAGTTTTACAGCATCATATCGGAATTTAAGGGTATAGTTATAAAAAAAAAGTCTAATGTAAGGGAAATTAAATACGAATTAAATTTAAAGCTCTGCTATATACTTTTCCGCCTTCAACTGCACTTTAGTTGTTCGAAGAGATGCGGCCGGAAGTCTGATGTATGCCATGATAGGAGTTTTGTTTCTTCGCGGGTGCGCTCTTTCCGAATGGACTTTTAGCGTTTACTTGCAGAATGTAGTCACCTTCCAAATCGTAGTCAGCGGCAATACCCATATAAGCGCGTCTGCCATTGCCATTGTTGTTCTTATACTGTTGTAGGGATTCGGCTGCGACAGCTGGGAAGTTGCGATCATTACCTGGACGCACTGTCTCGGCGAAGTAACGTGTTGCACGTAAGGAAGCTTCGATTATGTTATCAGTGCCGGGCATGGCAATAGAAGGACCGTTAGGATAGAAATCAACATCACCGGCACGAGCAACGCTACCCAAGCCATAAGCAGAAGTGTGGATAGCATCAACGAAATCAGCATTGCCGCGAGCCAAGCCGACCAAAGTGTTGGGTTTGCGTGTAAAGATTTTTGAGGGATCCACGGCAGTGATACGACGCAACCTGTTTCCTGTTTGACGTGTGTATTGGCGAGCAGCAGCACCGGCAACATGAGCGCCAATACCTTGTGCAACAATATAGATCACTTCCTGGGGTACATCAGTTTGCGACGTAAGTTGAACCAAAGTGTTACCGATCGCAGCACCGACGCGGTTGATATCGAGCAGAACAAGTTCTTCGAAATTGCGTATGACGGCGCCCAAATCAATAACCACCAAATTACCACTAGGCTTGGTTTGTTTGCTGTTAAAAGATTCCTCGCTTGATGAAGTATCCTGTTCAGAGTCAGCGTATTGACCACCTTGTACTTGCACTTGTCCGTTGTAGGCCTGCAAATAAGCCTGAATGAGTTTCTGGTTGGCGCGTGCAGCATCACGCAGTTTCTGTTGTGGCAGACCAGTGATGAAAATGGTGACTTCTTGTTGACCGAAATGTGGTTGTTGTTGGACGGTGGATACCAGCTGATTCAATTTGGTGTTCACGCGCTGACCAGTGGGTGTGTAGGTGTAGACAGGAATATCGCTAGGACTGGGGGCATAACTGGGTTCCATTTTCCGGCTTAATTGCGACAAGTGGTCTACAAGTAAAATTTTCCTGCATTACCTTGAATCTTACATTCCAAAGCAAGCGCTTCAATACTTACAAATCTGGTTCACCAACTCGGCAGCCTCCTCAGCCGGCGTTTCCTGCAACTTTTCGAAAGTAATCTCATCCACTGAAGGCGCATTCTCCAATTCACGCGGAGAAATCCACTCAGTGGGTTTCAGGTTATCACGTATTGAGTTGCCTCTAGCGCATACTGTAGTTGCTGTAGCCAACACGGCCACCAAACAAAAAATACTTAAAGGACTCATGGCTCTTCGTTACCGTTTATGTCGTATGCCGGGAGCAGTCGAATTGAACTGTGGTGTTGCCGAAATAGAAAATATAGCTTTTATACCTTAAAGTTATTTGCGTAGCACAACTGAGAATGCTGAGAAAACGTTAATTCAGAGGGGTGCATTGAACTCGCTTTGAAAACTGCTGTTGCAGGGAAATAGAAATACTTTTATTGATTTGTAAATCATTTAAGGAACCGCTATCTACAACTACTGCTGCGCGTGCAATCGCAGCTTAGACGTAAGTTTCAATTATCTGTGCATTTTTTTTCGATTAAAGTAAAAAGTTAAAGAAGGAAAGTGATAAGCTCGCTTGCTAGACACCGACGGCTGCGAGCATTGCAACGTGCTGACATCAAACTATTGGTGTTTTTGTTTAGGAATTTTTCTTTATTTTTAATTTTTTTTTGTTATTTCCTTTTTATTTACTTTGTGTGCCACACACATGAGCTCGCGAAATTTCGGCGTTTTATATTACCAAAATATGTGAAATACTCTGAAAAACGACAACATATGGAAATATATTATTATTTTTATTTCAAAACAACCATTGCGTAACGGGCTATATGAAACCGCCTTTCCGTTATATTTTGTAAATAAAACACTTTTGTTTACGAAAAGCATGCAGATTACGAATTTTGTTGTTACGAATTCATTAAACAATATTAATTTAATGAACATAAATAAAAAAGGCAACAAGAAGTTGGAAATATGAGCAACCCAGCCAATCCGAATTGGTCAAGTTAAAATTGTGCACAATACAGAGCATTATGTTGACATATAACGAGTGATCCAAGTAGAGACACTTTTTCAATATCCTTTTTTACACAGATCACAGATCATTTCATCATGATTACGCCTTCGCTCAACTTATTGACCGAATTATTCGCTACATCAACATCTATCATGAGATCCAGCATTCATTATTGGATAATATTCGACCGAATAGACCACGTCCAGCACGCAGTGAAGAAAATATCTCAGGCGTAGCTGAGAGTGTACACGAAGACTGTGGAGTCGATTTTAAATTGAAAGCTTGTGCAAGAACTGAAACCGCTCGACCTTCACAAACGACATCTTTGCACTCTATGAGCTTTTGAATAGTTCCAAGAAGATCCGATGATCGAGGAAAATATTGTTCATCAATGAGGCTCATTTCTGGCTCAATACAAGCAAACATTTCCTCATTTAGGACCAAAAGCAACCTGAAAGGATTCAAGAGCTGCCATTCCATTCATAAAAACAACGGGTTAGTGTGGCTTGTGGACTGGTGGGATCATTTTCAAAAATTTTCAACATAACCGACTATTTGATGCCTAAAATTGAAGTCACTTCCCCACATCGCATCAATTGTTGGATTTATTGCGAGAACACTTCGGTAAGCAGATAATTTCACGTTTTAAGTCGGTCGAGTGGCCACCAAGATCGTGTGTTATCACATCGTTAGACATTAGTCAAAATGCTCGAACGAGACGCAGCCGCGTCCAACATTGGAAAGATATATTCTTAAAAAAATAAATGCCAGAAAATGTTCTTTCAAATTATAATAAACATTCCTCAATAAATTTGAAATTTCTGGGTCTTTTCTTTAAAAAGACTAGGGAAACTCGAAGTGGATCCCCTTTAGTATTATAAAAGAAATTATAGATCAATTTCAAATAATTGATTCGAAAAAAGGAAAACTGTTAAGTTCAGTTCCATTGAAGGTAAAATACTTTTCACAAATAAGAAAGTTTGCA